GGAGGGGCGCCCCGCAGAGGCCTGGGGGACTGGGGACACCATAAGGAGCTAGGAAAGACGGCCTCAGGGGCAGAGAAGGCGCCTGGCAGAGGCCCGGAGGCGGGCGAGGGGCCTCTTCGCCGCAGCGTCTGGAGAGCTGCGGTCCTGTCAAGCAGCCGGCACGCTACCCCCGCCAGCCGCCAACGCACAAGGATTACTGCGGGCTCGCTCGGACCCACCAAGGCACCGGCTGGGCCTGGGTCTCTCGAATTTTCCACTAGTGGAAGCCTACACGGGGTGTCGGGGCTCGGCCCCGCATCCAACACTGTAAGCAGCGGGCAAAGGAGAGATGATGCATTGGAGAAGCCAAAGGTCTCACCATTTTGCTCGGCGGGTCGGCGGCTCGCTCGGTGGGAGGAGTGTCAGCGCTCAAACCAGCTCTCGCAGGAAGCGGTGGCGGCAGCGGCAACCCAGCTGCGCTTGGCTTGGGCGGCTGCGGCCCTCGGGACGCCCGCGGGGGAGGGGGTGCAGGGTGGGGGAAGGGAGGCGGCGCCGCGGGGCCCGCGCCGGCCGGGTGACTGGGCACGCAAGGGAGTGGGTAGAGAGGAGAGAAAAGAAAATAAGGTCGAGATTCAGAAAGAGAGGCAGGAAAGACGGCGAGAGGGAAGAGAGACAGAAAGAGGGAGAAGGGGGGGAAAGGGTATCAGGCGGCTCGGGGTCTGCAGCCTCGCGCTCGCGCCGGAGTCGTGACGGACTCACTGCAGTGGCTCGCGCTGACCCGCAACCTCAAGGCACGAAAAAGGGGGAGGGCGGGAAAGGGAGGGGAAAGCAGAGCGCGGCCGGGCGGAGGGCGGGGGCGCGTGCTGAGCCGGCGGTGGGGGCGGGGCTTCCGCGAACGCCACACATCCGGGAACCCGCGCACCGAGCTCGGCGGCGGCGGCCTCTGCGCTCTAAAAACTGGTTGGGAGCGCGGAGAACGCGGACCACGTCCTCCCCTTAGCCCTCCGCCCCTTAGTCCTCCGCCCCTTGCGTGTGGTACAGGGGGGGGAGGACAGGGACGGGGGCGCCGACGTCTGTGACGTCGCTTGGCGTAGCCTTTCCTGTCACGTGGCTGGAGGCGGGCGGTGTAGAGGGCCCCGGAGGGGAGTAGAGGGGAAGGAGGAAATGCGAGGGTTCCCCGAGAGGCAGGATCAGCAAGGGGTGCGCATTCTGCGGGCGAACGGGGATTTGGGCCCAAGAGTGGGAGCCTAAAGGGGGAGGAGGAACAAATGAGCGGCTTTAGGGTGTCTGAACCACCCAGACACCATACGGAAAACAAGCCCTTAGGCTAAAGGGAATCTGTTTACTTTTGAAGAAAGATATCTTTACGTCAGTATACCTACTTGGATCCACTAAAGAACCGCGCATTTGGACTAGTATCAGAGCAACACCCGCAGGCCCACACTCCAGCCTGAATTGGCGGAGGCAGGAGCCTGTGTTGGAAAGACAAGGAGGTGGGCCAAAGCTACTCCCAGAACAGCCGAGCAGAGGGACTGCTTCCCACTCCCGCAAAGATTTTCCCACCCAGCTCTGTATTTTCCTTTAACTTCCACATTGCCCTTTGACGGAGTGCAGACGTGTTTTTGAAAATTACTCGAAAACAGATGGACCACGTTTGTAGGACTATGGATGAGCTATGTTGTTGTTATGTGCCGTCCAATCGGCCCCGACTCATAGCGACCCCTCTTTGGGTTTCCGAAGCAGTATCACTACAGAGTAGATTGCCCCATCTTCCTTCCGAGGAGTGGCTGGTGGGTTTGAACCGCCAGCCTTCTGCTTAGCAGTCAAGTGCCTTAGGCACTATGCTACCAGAGCTCCTAAAGTTGTGCTAAAAAACAAAATTTTAAATAAATAATTGTTTATACGTCATCTTCATATAAGCATCCAGGACAAAACCTGTATTATCTATTTCAATAAAAACCAGATACAAATGTAAAAACTTAAATACAATCTGAACTCTAAGTGCACAGTAAAAACTATTTTTGATAGGTGAAAATTTAACTGTTTCTAAAAATGCCCCTACAAAATTTACTCCTTCAAAAAGTACTCATATTGTTTCCAATCACACTGACCTAAATAAACGTTCTCACATTTGATTAAGTCATTTTTCTTCTATTACTCTGCAAACCAGTAACAGTGAAATATTCGATCCAAAACCATACATAACTACCTAGAAAAAACATCGTAAAAACAAAGGCTTATTTTATCATATACAACTGATCAGTAGTGGTTCAGGGAAAAAAAAACCTGGGAGCTCAATATTCAACAGAATTCTGTGTATGTGTACGTGTGTGTACACATGTGCATATATATAATCTTTATCCTACCATTACGTCCAACAGTTTAATAATTTAAGTGAGAATGGAAGACGGAAACATTTAATTCAAGAAAAAAAAAAGTAACCAACTTTTGAGGGAGCAACTAAAATTAATACTTGCTAAAAAAAGGTCCTTGGGAGATCTAAATCAATTTTATTCAAGTCTTTTGATTAATACTGTAAAATCTCATGTCAAAATATAAATATGTTCATAACAGTAAGAGTAATAGATATTTTCAAAAGTGAGTAAAAATTTCCTAACTGTATGCTCAACTACCTACAAATGAACTAGACCGCTCCAAAGCCCAATTAAGTTGATCAATATCCTGTATCGGCATAAGTCTTCCAATAAGTTAATGTAAGCATGGTGTTGATACTTTCAAAACAGTGCTATCCTCAGCAGATCAAAATAACCCTGAAGTTGAGGAGCCACACTGTCACTGCGAATTATGTAGGTTCTGAAACACTAAGGAGAGAATGAAAGAAGAGCCGAGGGTGAATCAAAAGTAAATACTGAAAAGAAAAATAATGACCTGGAAAATCATATATACTGTACTGTAAATATTAAAAGTGTTTTATAAACTGCAACCCTAAGCACCAAAAAGAAAAGAATTTTAAGAGCTAGAAGACAACTCCCTAAATTTCAATCAGTTGTTCAACAGAAAAACGACAGGGTAATGCACCACAGGAAATGTTTGGAAATCAGACCATTCTGCTATATGATACAGTAACAACAAAAAGTTTGATTATTGTTGCTCAAAATGTATTGCTTATAAATACAGGTAAAAACAAAGCAGTCATTGTAACAAAGATCTTCAAGATTCTGACTTTCAAATAAAATACATTCACAAGGAAGTTTTACTGAAGCACTAAACTGCAATTCCTAACTTCAAAAGATTATGCCCATAAAAAAGACTGTACTGTAAATGGCTATAATTTTTCTAAATTGTTTTCTGTAATAGTCTGGAAAAGCCTAAGTTTTGTGACTTTGGGGTGCCAATTTGTCTCTGAGAAGCCTACCAAGCTAGCATGGGAAAACCTCCTCACATCAAAAATCACTAATCATTTATTAACTCTGTGCTAAATTTGTATTTTAAGTACAACAATAAACACATCTAATCATTTGCTCTGTATTTTAAATAACGGCTGACTTATTTGAATATTCTAATATCATTTTCTCCCCTCACAATCACCACCAAATTGAGTCTGAGTTAGAATCCACATAATTTGTCTTCACTAGCCCACCACTCTATTTTGAAATACTTAAATTTTACATCTAGTGTGGAACATAATGCAACTCAAAGATGCAACAAAGTACCCAAAGCCAAACAGTTTGAAAACTGACAACTGTACAGACTTCTAGAAAGAGTAGTAACTGAATCACGTGTTGGAATATCTGATACATACAGAACAGTACTGCGAACCTTCCTACTATGTATACAATTAGTAATTACAAAGAGGAAACTATACCGGCAACCAGGAGCAAAAGAACCGGTAAGGTAACAGGCTAAAAGGGCGTTCATTTCTTGGCTACAGTAACAGAGGCGGGAGACACACCCCTAGCGTCGGTCTGAAACACTACAGCAATGAATTCTACCTAGGGATTAATGTGAGGGTAAGGAAAGACAAATTTAAATCGCCATGATTCAAAAACCACCAGCAGCCAACACTCGATCAACATTTACGAAGGTAACAAAGAAAATGGAAAACGCTTGGAAATAAAGAACCATTAAAAACTATACCCATTTATCCGAAACCAAATTGCCCTATGCTTTAATGAATAAACACCTTGAACCTTTCCGGTTGACCAGTGCAGAGAAAAGCATCAGCGAAAGTAAGCCGGTAAGATTGCAAAGAGCAGCGAAATAAATACCAATGGAAGAGGGGGGAAGTAAGTAGCAAGATTCCTGCCAAAGACTCCTTGCATGAAAAGTCTGGAGTATGAGTGGGAGAAATAGCAACTCTAGAGAGTAGATCTTACATAAAGTGCCATTTGCAACATATTATTTCCATAAGATTCCAAATATCCCGGAGCTTAAAAAAGAGACTGGTAGTGTGTGGCGGGGGGGGATCCACGTGGAGAAGGTTCCAGGGAACAGTAAAGCGGGCAACGCGGGGCTCGAGAGTGCCAAGATCGTGGGGGGGGGGGTGTGTAAGACAGGGGAGGAATCCCCGCAGCAGCGGGGGGCGGCCGCGGAGGGGCGCCCCGCAGAGGCCTGGGGGACTGGGGACACCATAAGGAGCTAGGAAAGACGGCCTCAGGGGCAGAGAAGGCGCCTGGCAGAGGCCCGGAGGCGGGCGAGGGGCCTCTTCGCCGCAGCGTCTGGAGAGCTGCGGTCCTGTCAAGCAGCCGGCACGCTACCCCCGCCAGCCGCCAACGCACAAGGATTACTGCGGGCTCGCTCGGACCCACCAAGGCACCGGCTGGGCCTGGGTCTCTCGAATTTTCCACTAGTGGAAGCCTACACGGGGTGTCGGGGCTCGGCCCCGCATCCAACACTGTAAGCAGCGGGCAAAGGAGAGATGATGCATTGGAGAAGCCAAAGGTCTCACCATTTTGCTCGGCGGGTCGGCGGCTCGCTCGGTGGGAGGAGTGTCAGCGCTCAAACCAGCTCTCGCAGGAAGCGGTGGCGGCAGCGGCAACCCAGCTGCGCTTGGCTTGGGCGGCTGCGGCCCTCGGGACGCCCGCGGGGGAGGGGGTGCAGGGTGGGGGAAGGGAGGCGGCGCCGCGGGGCCCGCGCCGGCCGGGTGACTGGGCACGCAAGGGAGTGGGTAGAGAGGAGAGAAAAGAAAATAAGGTCGAGATTCAGAAAGAGAGGCAGGAAAGACGGCGAGAGGGAAGAGAGACAGAAAGAGGGAGAAGGGGGGGAAAGGGTATCAGGCGGCTCGGGGTCTGCAGCCTCGCGCTCGCGCCGGAGTCGTGACGGACTCACTGCAGTGGCTCGCGCTGACCCGCAACCTCAAGGCACGAAAAAGGGGGAGGGCGGGAAAGGGAGGGGAAAGCAGAGCGCGGCCGGGCGGAGGGCGGGGGCGCGTGCTGAGCCGGCGGTGGGGGCGGGGCTTCCGCGAA